TTTCTCTTTTCCTAAGGGATTACCTATTTCATTATTAATTTGAGAAGGAGTTAGTCGAGGGTGCGGTCAAATAAATAAAAAAATTATTTATATATTTTAATTTTTTTATTTATTTGACCGCACCCTCGACTAACTCCTTCTCATATCATATCAACGGTCAACCATATCTACATCATTATGAATTCATTATTAATTGTAGAATTAGCTTCTTTTAGCCCTTCCATAGTAGCTTTTTCTTCTTCACTTTCTATATTATTCTCAAAAGAAGTTTCAGATTCCTTAATTTCTTTAACCTTAGGTTCCATATCGGTTATTTGGTCTTCAATATCTTTGTCTTCAAACTCTTCAGTAACAGTTTGCTTTTCATTAATATCTGAGTGACCAAAGGAAGCTTTCTCAGCCAGAGTCGTTTCTTAAACTTCAGTTATATTTGCAATAATTTGGGTTTCTAGTTTATCGCAATCTTGTTTCAAAATTTTCTGTTTATTATTAGATTCTATTTTTTTTTTTAAATTATCAAATTGTTAATTCAAATCATTAAGCATAGCCATTACTTGTTAAAACATATTATTATCACCACAATTCAAATTGTTGCTACTACTTATATTTATTTTTTCACCCTCTATATTATTTTCACTAAATTCATGAACTACATTTAATCCTAACAGACTTTTACATCCCATGCATCTACTGTTAGAGTTTTCAGGTTATCTATTTTCATCAAGTAGGTTTTATACAACCGATTCTTCCTCATTTTCTACAATAACAACATCTCCATTAGATTTCCCAAGGATTATATTATTAAGTACTCTGTCTTTCATCATATTTCTATGGTTATTCTCTATATTTCTAAAAAATGATTAATAAAAACTATACAATAAAAACAAATTGTTTATTTGAGTTGCGATTTGATTGTCAAGAACTAATTTTTAAAGAATAAGGCCACGCATAGTTGAGCACCAAAATGTAATATCTCTTATATTTTACAAATTATAGTATTGGAAGATCACTTTATACTGTTGGGATACTTCCAAAAGAAATAAGGGGTTGGAAATATAAACAAAATTATAACAGTATTAATATATTAAATTGAAATTTATAATTATTTTATCTCAAGGTATGGGTTACTGACAATCAGATCAGAAGACTCAGACAGACTACACTAAACACTGTTTGATTTTAAAATAAAGTCAAGTATGAATTGGCAAGCCTACTTTGTTTCTTGTTTTTTTGAACCTCTGTTGTTATGCCAAACACATCTTCCAAAATGGTGACACTTTCTTCTAATTAACACAAGCTTCCTGGGAGATCCTCTCTCTTCTATTTCCAAACAACAACTTCCAAGATGGTAATATTATTACTGGGTTTTACCCACTGGAGCCAGGATCCCTGCTCCCATCCACTCTTCACCCCCAGCCAAACACCAACAAAAATCCTTTGTCTCCCCTCTTCTTTGGGATTTTCCTACAGAGCAGCCATTTTTTCCCCTCTGAAAGAGTAGAACTAGCTTGCCTTTTAACTATTAAACATTAATTTATTAAATCTTTTTTATCCACTTCCAATAAAGATGTACATTACAATACTTATCTTAAAAACAAAATATCAGTTTCGTACGACTTTTCATTTTTGAGCTAGACTGTTCATATACACCCAGACCATTTATCGGGACTTGGTTATTTGAACTCAGGGGACCTCAAAATGGGTATTTCCCTTGAAAATTCAGATTAAAAAATTTTCACTATCACAATATTTTCCCTTACTATATATTACATAGTGTATTGTATTTATAGTAAGTGTATATTACATATATTGTAAGTGAAAGTAAAAACGTATGGCTCCAGCTCAGTCCTTGTCTATCAGTCTTTGCCAAGTAGCGGAAGTATTATGAAGGCCGAAGCGGATCCTATTAAATTGAAACAATCCATGGCCAGGTACCATAAACGTCTTCTCCAGATGCTGATTTTAAATATAGAATGTTCAGATACTTTGCATTTCTTAGGCGGTCTAATATAGTTGATAAGCATGGTAATGGGTACACATCTTTCTTTGATACCACATTCAGGTGCCTAAAGTTTACCTAGAACCTGTATGATTTTTCCAGTTTTCGGATCATCACAACAGGTTAGGACCGTGGACTGTTACTTTTCTCGATGGCATCCGTTGCAATTATCTCATTCAATTCTTTGTGCATTTCCGTGAGAACTGCAGACTAAACATGATGGTATCATTGCTTTATTTACAGATGATCACCTGTATCGATTTGATGGGTGTAGTTCTAAACAAATCCAATTTTTGGACCTTCCTGATAAAAGTAATTATGGAAAAGTTCTTGAAGTTGCTCCCTTTCAAATTCTGTAAGTGACTGTTCTGAAATTAGTGCACCCAGTGGGACCCATGAATGTCCAAATATTATTACTTAAATCTGGGATGACCCTCAATGATTTCCAAAAATCTACTCCAAGGGTCAAAGGAATTGTTAGATCAGGAGCCATCAACGATGTAATTACCCTTACTCTATTTTTTAACTTAAAGGGTATGATTACCTCACCTAAAAATGGAGCATCCTTGACCTTTCGGGACGATAAGTTCCCAACCAGAACTATCCAAAATCGTTCGAGCACTTGAGCCAAATAAACCCATCATGGAATGTTCAAAGATGTTCACACGCATGAGGTCCAGATCTGAGTTTATTTCTTCACATATTTCATCAGGATACCCCACATATGGCAGAGAGGTGTGGGATGAACTTAGTTCCCTTTTTTCTCTCCGTGAATTTACTTGCTCTTCGATTCCTACATTGCCCATACTCGTATATTTTGATGCCATTCTCACTGCAACCATTACAGAAAATATGTCGAGATTCCTTCCAATTTCGAAAACAGTGCCCTCGCTGATTGCAGTTCCAGCAACCCGCATTGTAGACTTTGGAACGTTTCTGCTATGCAATAGCATCCACTTCTACATCTGAAGTAATTTTGAGCAAGGTATCTGTATTAAGAGGAGAGATATCTCTGAAGTTTCTACCTTGATTTCAATATTAACCCAAATCAGGCTCTAACAAACCACTGGAGGAAGGTTCTCTAAATCAAGTGGTAAGCACAAAGATAACCTCTCAAGAATCTCTTTCAGCTCATCGAGGCACTCATACCGTTTAAAGTCCTTTCAATTATAGCCATAAATTTTTCATAGACTCACTAGTGCCCTACATCTGACAGAGGATCTCATTCATCAATAATCAATCATAATCAGGGTCTGTAAATGCTGGTCTAGTCGATTGACTGTCTCATTTCAATTAGAACATAGATTTTGATTCATTCAGAACCATACTAATGCTAACCAGGTGAAAAGGTCACCTGATACTCGAAATAATTCACCTTGGCTACCCTCTTGAGCTATTCTTTGCTCTTCTACTTCTTCTAAGAATAAACTTAAAGAAGGACCTGATGAATCACCTGAGAACTTTAAACCCCATTTATATGCTTTTATGTCCCTAATGACTTGTTCTTTAAAAGTCAGATTTAAAGTATGTGATGTAGTGACAGTATATGTTGTGGTTAGAGACGGTAATATAATCACCGGTTTCTTTTCCTATAGTCTGGCTATTAGAAATGTTACCTAATCACCCAACTGTTTCCAGCGCTTTTTTAACTCTGGTGGAACAACTAACCTTCCTAAGCGACTATAAAGATGCTCCACTTGTATATTCAGCTAATGATAGCATCACCAGACCGGCTACTTTTTCTTTAGAGGTGCGGTTAAATGATTTATACCATTTCATAAATCAAATTTGTTTACAACTTTAAGCAAACCCACTAACAAACTTTTTCAAAAAATAGTTTTTCTCTTTAACCTCTCTCTCAATTCCAACACCTGTTTTTTCAAAATATTCTTATCTTTTCATCTCCTTTTGAGCAAGGTATCATTTTGCCATTGTAACAGTAGAAAGATTCAAATTCCTCAGCTCCACAATAATCTCTATAAATGACTAACTATCTAAGATATAGGAGTGTTTAACAGTTGAAATTAGAGCTGTTCCCACTCTTTCAAGGATACTGAAATCCTAAAAAATCTCTAAAAATCTCATATTAGGGGACCACAATCCAATGATAAAGCCAGTGCTTATAAGTTGCTGTGAAACCTGGACTGTAACCAGTAATCTAAAAAGAAGAATTGAAAGATTTGAGGGCAAAGTCCTACACAAGATAACCGAAATAATCTAGGATTCAGATGGAGTAGAAATAAATAAAGAAAGGGTCAGTTCATGTCTCATGATATGAAGGCAAGATATTTAGTTCAAAAGCAATTCATCAGAAAGCCTCTATGAATCCCACAATAGTTGGTAAGAGAACTAATTTAAATACAAAAAGCTAATGGATAGATAGAATCAACAAAGATGTTGCAGAATTGCATGCATTTCTGGGAACATTGTTTTTTTTTTTTTTTATTAATAGTTGCAAGAAAAACAGCAATATGCAGTTTATAGAGATACGGGAGATGTACATAGTAGGAGGGCCTGTCTCACTACGTAACATTGATAACGTTATATTGGTAAACATTTGTAAGTACATAAATAAGAGGAGATTATTACAAGTAGGTAATGCAGTTGAGCCATATATGCTGAAATTGTTTATGTATCTAAAGTTTCCGAAATCTTGAATTTTATGATAAAACAGTTAATGTATACTGGAATAAAATGGCTGCATATTGAACCAAAATTTTCATATTTTTAAAATTAGCTGTTTCATATGTGTGTGTGTATTTTTAATTGGATTTATAATAAAAGATGTTAACATTTTTCCTATAATATTAATTAATATTCTTGTTCATAAAACGGTTATTGTTAATAGGAAAATTTTTAAGACGTTGGTAACCAACTTTCATAAAAAATAATAATACTTGTGCCCACAAGTTACTTTTTTTTTATCTTGGTTTTCTTTCTTTTTTTTCCTCCTTTATCAGGTTTTACAATTGATGAAGTCTACTATCAGTGAAATTATTACCATTTGTTTAGTAGCATCAGGAGAAAACATTAAAACTCTTTTCTGAAGGTCCCTGTTTTCTGCCTTAACTCCTTTCATTTCAGCCTGAAGAATTTCAATTTGTTTTTTAAGTCCACCTAACACATCATCAGGCATTGATTTTGTCTGCTTCCTACAATAGTAAAATAAAAATTAAATTAATAAAATTGAATGCATCATAGACTATAAAGAGAAAATGGCAAATGTGAAAATAATTTCAAGTTAATTTAATAAAACCTTCAACCTAGAATAAGTCATGGAACCAGCAAGTAATCGGAAAACGTTTTGAAGAATTTATAACTTAAAATTAATATGTCTGATAGAATGGTCTTCTTTGGAAATAATAATTGAAAAGTTAGTACTAGGCTTACTTTCAGTATTATCAAAGAAAATTTAAGCTTTTTTAAGCTTAACCCACAAAAACAGTGTGGAACACAACAAATTTCTCATAATCTTTTTATAGAAATCAAAGGAAGTTATAACTAACAGGGGGATGTTACGGTCGATGGGTCACTGATTTAAATGAAACTGTTTTTTTGGTGATAATAGGTCCAAAAATATTAGATCCGTGTCCGAGGGTTCTTACCGATGCCCCCTAGGAGCTGAGAAAAAAATATTTTTTTCTAAAATATGTTTTTGACCTAGTGTCACCAAAAAAATTTTCATTGATTTCATTGAAAATCGGTGACTCTCCCATGAAATCGGTGACCCGTAACCTCCCCATATAAATATTTTGGAGAGTACATATTTTGGCTATAATATATTCTTGCATAAAAACAGTTGAAATGGAACTACAAATGTGCAACATACCTTTTACAGTCATTCTAGGGGTAGCATTGCCAGAAGGTGGTGGAATGATGATCAACGGCCATAGAATATTCTACATCCGGAAAACAATAAAAATGGGACAGCTGGCACTAGATTTATAGTTTGTCCAGTGGCAAGGAAATCAATTATAAGCTTCACCCCGATTAATGAAAGGATTAGTGAATGCATCAACCGAAGGTAAAGATGAAGAAGTGAAGGATAATTTCTTCAGTTAGAAAATACTGTGGACCAACCTCACAAACATGAAATACAATTAGTCAGCCATAGCCATAAGATAGGACACGGACCCCAAGGCCAATTATCAGATGCCAAAGTCTTCAAAAAAGGAGCAATGATAATAGAGTCAGATTTTGTTTTTTGGGTTTCTTCCCTTCCTCCTCTTTAAGACTATATGGGATTTTCCTGGAAAAGGGAGTGTGGTGGGTAGGGATTTAAAAGACTCCCCCGACATGGGGACATGAACTCGTGACTAATTTTTATTAACTTATCTCATATAAGAGGTTGCCCGACAAAGGCAGTGCTGTTAGCCTGTTCGGCCACTCCACCCACTATGGAGTCAGATGTATTAATCTAGCAGCAGCTAAAGGTCTAATCATCAGCAGTACAATGTTCACACACAAGAACATCCACAAGTACACCTGGGTAAGCCCCAAAGGTGCAAAAAGCCAAATTGATCATTTGATGATAGACAAGAGATATTAGAGCTCAATACAAGATAAAAAAGAAACTTAGTCTGAACTCTGATAAGAAAGAAACTAAGTCAAATATTGAAGTGTATCAACAAAATAGGAGATCAAGTGGAAAAAAGAAAATACAAAGTACGTGATTTGAAAAATCTTGATGTAAAACTCAAATTCCAATTTGAGCTGAAGAATAAATTAGAACTCATGGATTCAGAGAGCCTCTCAGTGGAGCAACAATGGGAGGTGATAGAGTAAGAACTAAAAGAAACAGTTAAAGAAGTAATAGGCATTCATGAGAAATAAAAAACTATGAAATAGTTCACAGAAAAGTAGTAATAGATAGTAGAGAGATAATGAAAAATGAAAGTCATCTGCTTCACCATAACTAAATAAGCTAATCCAAACAATTACATTGCCGCCAAGAAAAAGACAAAATTTAATTTTAAGATTGACAAAAAGAGAATTCCTTAAAGAAATATTGCAAATCATTGAAGACAACTGGCAGGCTATATATAAACCCAAATTATTGCAGACATTAGGAAAAAAAAGGTAGATAGTGAGAAACAAATGAATGAGAGGAAAAGATGGCATTCTTATTGCATCAAAAGAAAAGATATTAAGCATCTAGAAAGAAAATTCCTATTAGTTTCACAATCAAGGGGAATCCATAATCGAAGAAGACATGGACCACATTGATGACCTCAATAAGAAATTTTGAAACAGGTCAGTCTGTATCTCATGATATAAAGGCAAGAAGTTTAAGATAGTAGGGGCATGTAACTATTAAGCAATTTTCATTCCCTTATTTTGACCGAGACTTTCACTCCTCATCATATTTCCACATTTGAGTAATTTCTTGAAGAGTAATTGTTTATGGTCATTTAGCAGTTTAGTAAATCTGCATGGGCTAATTAGTGCAAGGCTAGTAGAGATTCATGCTCTCCCAGTCTCCTGAGTTCAGTACACAGTATCCACACATTCAGAGCAGAACATAGTTCTTGCACACTTAGATAATGTCATGAGGGGGGTGTGGCCAATGAGCTAATGAGTGTGTACAGCACCACTGTTGCTGTAAAAATAGTCATGAGTTCGCCTCCCGATGCCGGGGGTCTTTTAAATCTCCACCCTCACCCCATGGCCTGGGTGGACTTAAAGGCGAGGAAGGAGAGGAACCAAAAAAAAATAATAAGTTCATCTACAGTACACACCCTAGGAAGTCACTCCGGAAGGAGGAGCACTTCAGGATCTGAGAGGAGGTCTTAAAACTCTCTCCCCTTAATTAATATGATAATCCCCCCTAAGAGCATGAATCAAAGTGGAGCAACACTTTGTAAGCTAGTACCAAAAATAAGGTAATCAGCACAGCTGAAGTATAAGTTTTCATGAATTTTCAATCTTTTCATAATTCTCTTATGAAGAGAATGTACTTGTAAAGAGAATTTAAAAAATAAATAAATAAGCTCTCATAAATGAAAGCAATTTTCCATTAATTGTTATTCTTTCAACTTCCAAAAAATAAATTTTGAAATAATTCACTAAAAGTCATATACTTAACATATTTTGGGCAAAAAGAATTTAGTTAAGATATGAAGTACATAAAATGTATTGCACCTTTCTGTATCAGCTTTTGTTTTATCAACTGTTGTGATTTCTATGTTTCTTTCTTGAGTTTTATCAGATTCACTGTGTTCAGTTATGATTTGATTACCACTTGAAATTTTCGTGGTGGTTTGTGTTGAGATTAATTCTTGTTGTTTAATTGTTAATCCAGGTTTCCCAGTTGGATCTGAAGACAATTCTGTGTTATCTTTTGTTTTATTCATACCCGGTTGAGTTTTTACATCTATTTTATTCATCATTGTTGGTGGTAGGGTATCCTTTACTTGTATCATTCCAGGTGAAGTTTGTGGATCTGTTGTTTGGTACATTCCTGGTGCTCCTTGTGGATTCATTGTATTTATTTGAACTTGAGGATTCATCGTATTTATTTGACCTTGGGGATTCATTGTAGCTGGTAAAGCTTTTGAACCCATCATTGTCATTTGTCCTTGAGCACCCAACATCCCCATGGGTTGAGGTCCCATCATTCCTGGCTGAGGCCCCATCATTCCTGGCTGAGGTCCCATCATTCCTGGATGAGGCCCTATCATTCCTGATTGAGGACCCATCATTCCTGATTGAGGACCCATCATTCCTGATTGAAGACCCATCATTCCTGGTTGTGGTCCCATCATTCCTCCAGGTTGTTGGACCGCAGACCAAGCTTGTTGTCCTGGTATAACCCATGGATGATTAAACCCACCAGCTCTTTGTTGTTGCATCATCACACCAGGTTGATTAGCTGCCATCTCAGACCTAAACATAGCTGGGTAAGTCTGAGTTTGAGGTTGCATTACAGGAGCATTTGGTCTCTGAGTATTTTGATATGGTTGTCCAAGCACCCCCTGTCTGTCCAACATACCTATAACTTCTGTAGAATGTAGCTCTCGTGAGAGGTCTTTTTGAATATATCTTTCAGCATCACAATCTGGAGGGAATCCCCTTCTCATTTGTTCTGGAGTTGGATAAGTCCTCCCCTGTTGTTTCATATCCACACATGGGCTCCTTTTCTCTTTACATACTGGTTCACAAACTATCATATTTGGAACACCGAGCTCATGCTGAGAAATCCTATCAAAACAAATTACTTTAGGAAAATTATCAAAATGACTTGGACCACAAGGATTCACTTCTCGGCACTGGGTAGGAGTACCTAGTAAAGCAGAACTAACATTCTCTATTCCGGCAATATTTTGGATATTCTTAGTAAGTTCTTCAAATTCTGAAAGTTTTGCCATCAATTCCTCTTGCATCTTTAGCATTTCCTTGGCATCTTCTTCCGTCATGTTCTCTTTCTATTAAAAAAAAAAAAAAAAAAAAAAAAATTAAGAACAATAGTGGATTAATAATTGACTGTCGTGGATATATTGAAGAGGAGTTGGTTGAGGTGTTCAGTTCACAAGTAATAAAGTAAAAATAAATAAATTATATTTATTTTTTCTGATGTTTCGGCCCAAGGTTCAGACCTTCATCAGGGTTAAAAAAAAAAGATAACAATAAATATGTATTGCCATATTTATATTACAGATATCTATTGTCATAAAGACATCTTGTCTTTACTTAGCCCTGATGAATGCCTGAACCTTAGGCCGAAACATTAGTAAAAACAAAAATAAATATAATTTATTTATTTTTACTTTAGTGTCATGGCCGCAAGTGCAGTTGAAGATTCACATCGCTCTGTATTTGTTACTATGTAATGTGGTTATTATTTAAAATTCTAGTGTAAGACTATATCAACAGTGACTATATAAATAGTGGTACATTTTATGTCACATATGTTCAGGTTATTAACTATTGATTAACAATGAAGCAGTAATAAATTAGTGCTCTTTCGGCAAGCCCAAGTGGCCCGTAATCCCTTACAGGTTTACCTTATCTGTAATAAGTAACGGTCAAGACTCGGCTCTGTGTATACTAACATTCTTCGGCTTTGTTCACAGTTCGAATCCATGACATTTAAGTTTTTTCTTTTTTTTCTCTTTATATTTTTAATATTTTTCAGGAGACTTTTATTTTATTTTCTCATTAATTAATTCTGAAATGAATTATTTTATATTATATTTGTATATAATTTGTAAATAGTTTAGTTCTTAAGAAGCTATCTTATAATTTTCATTTTAATATTTAGGTTTAAAAAACATTTTTTTTTTTTTCTCTTTCTCTCACACTCATTTATCCATCATGGATAAATCCATGGATTTGGATAAGAACATTTCTTGTGAAGACTCGGAGAACGAGACACCCTTTTCAGAAATTAGCGAGACTGACTCGCAATACTTGAAAAGACGTACGCTCCAAAAGCATATCCGAAACTCCGCTCCCGGTTCGGGAAGCAACTCACCAAATAAGAAAAAAACAAAAAATAAATCAAACAAATCAAATAAGCCAGCGGAACAAGAAAAATCTCCACCTAAAACGAGGAGTAAATCTAATGCCACACAATCAGAGCCAACTGCACCAAGCACCTCAGCCAGCAAGAATACTATTCTCGATAACAATTTATCAAGCAAGATTCCGAAGCCTCAAGATTTTTCTGACCCCGAACCGCCACTTGTTTTTGTTTCGAAAATTGAGAACTTCGTGTCGTTTGGTCAAGAAATTGCAAAACTAATCGGACAGCCAAATTTTCGCTGCTTTTCTCGAATCAATGACATTAAAATAAACACGAACACTAGAGAAAACTATAAAAAATTGATTAGCCATTTAACTTCCAAAAACTACGACTTCCATTGTTATCAATTGAAACAGGACAAGGCGTATTGAGTAGTCCTGAGAGGTCTACATCCAACCACTCCTATATCTGTCATCAAAACAGGCCTGGAAGAAATCGGTCATAACGTCAGGCACATAGCACCCGTACTATATCCTAGGGAAAGATATCCGCTTCCATTATTCTTTATAGATTTGGAACCAGCAAAAACGAATAATGAAATATTTCAGGTTCAACGTTTAGTATACTCGACAGTATGATTTGAAGAACCAAGGCAGAAGCCCCTAATAGCACAATGCACTAAGTGTCAAAACTTAGGGCATACGAAGATATATTGCCATCACGAGGCCAGATGTGTTAAATGCGCCGGTTTTCACGCTTCAGGCACTTGTCAGAGGCCAAAAGATGAGCCCGCTACATGTACTCTTTGTGGTGAAGCCCACCCTGCAAGCTATAGAGGTTGTGAGGTATATAAAAATCTTTACAAACAGAGATCACGCAACTTAGTGCCTGTACCCAATCCTAGATTCTAATCACATAATCCCAGATCACCAATTTGGATTCCGCTCCTCCCATTCCACTATACAGCAATGCCATCGTGTGGTAGACGTAGTATCCTCTGCATTGGAGCGCGGTATGTACTGTATGGGAGCCTTTCTCGATGTTGAACAGGCGTTTGATAGAGTTTGGCACCCGGGACTGCTGTACAAACTCCGAAAATTCCTACCATCTACCTACTTCCTCATTATCCGTTCCTACCTTACTGATAGATACTTTAAAGTAAATCACAACAATGTCTATAGATCCCGTTTTTCCCAGTCTGCAGGTGTTCCTCAAGGTAGTATCCTAGGTCCTATCCTTTACACAGTTTATACAGCTGACATCCCAACCCATCCCAACACTGTCATCACCACATATGCTGATGAAACATGTATCCTATCAGTTAATAACGACCCTTCTATTGCATCCCAAACCCTTCAATCCCACATCACAAACCTTGAAGAATGGTGTCAGAACTGGAGAATTAAAATAAATTCCAATAAATCCCATCAAATTACCTTCACCCTTCGTCGTAAACCAATGACTTCCTGTCCTTCAGTATCCTTTAACAACACCTCACTGATTCCTGTTGAACAAATCCGTTACCAAGGACTTCATCTGGACAAACGTCTAACTTGGAATCCTCATACCAGACTGAAACGACAAGAAACAGCTCGACGTTTCCGACTACTTCAACACTTACTAGACAAACACTGTAACCTTCCAATCAATTATAAAAGACTGATTTACATGACTATAATAAGGCCTATTTGAACTTACGGAGTTGAGCTATGGGGCTCCACCAAACCTTCAAATTCCTCTAGCATACAATCCAAAATCCTTCGTAAAATCCTCAATGCTCCTTACTTTTTACAAATAAAATTATCCATAATGACCTTAATGTTCCTTATGTATCAGATTTGGCCCAATCCAGATATCTGTCCTTCCATAATAAACTTCATAACCATCCCAACCCTCTTGTCTCTAACCTTGCTTCCTATTCGATTCCTGATAACCCTCCGAGGCGTCTGAAAAGAAGATGGCCACGTGATCTTCTAATATAGACATATTATTAGAGTGCTACCAATGGGTAGTTTCTCAACATGTGTTCCATGTCTTTATACCAATGTGCGAATTTACCAGATGTATTTTTTGTATACAGTTGTAAATATTATATAAATAAATAATAATCAAAAAATTTTTACTTTGTCACTTGTGACTGAACACACCAACCAATTCCTTTTCAATAATTAAGAACAATATTTAAAACGTTATTAACATTTTGATGATAATTAATTAGGTTAAAAATTAAATATACGCACAAAACAGAGTATTAGTAGCAATAGATATAGATTAATATGAAGGTGATTAAATTAGTAAATAAACCTTGGCATATTCTACTAAAGAGGCCTTCATTTCTTCTATAAACTTTGCCATATTTTTAGCACGTTCATCAGCTTCAGATAACTTTTTCTTTTCTTCTTCTTCAGTCATCTAAATCAACATAAAAGATAATCACAGACAATGTATGAGATTTAAACTGAAATAATAAAAATGAAGTAGGTGTGGTATTTTTACAAAAATCATACATTTGTATTATAAAATGCACTTCAATTTTTATGCTATGAAATGATTTGAATTATTTTTTCCTCATTTATAGTTTTTTATGAACATTACCTGTTGTAATAGGAAGAAGAATGATGGACCCGCAAAATGGAAAACTGAAGGCAGAGTAGTAACAATAAGTGGAGAACCTATAAGAAGGATGAGAGGGGAAATAAAATTATGGTTAAAATTATCTCTAGTGTGAGAAAGCATTAAAAATAATTAACATAAAAAATGATGAAACTTCTGAATAAGGTTGCAATACAGAACAGAAAAGAATGTCACGAGGCCATAGTAAAAAGAAAAAAACACATTGCAGACTATATAGGATGAAAAAGCAAAGATGAAATGATAAAACAAGGAATTTGTTTGGTGGTCAACAAAATAAAATCAATATTTGTAAATTACTGCCCTGCGATAAAGCAATCTGATGAATAAATTGATTTATTGGCTCAAGATGGAAAAAATAAGAGGAAAGAGCATTTTTAATAATTGCTAAGCCCATGGGAAGATGGAAAGCACCTGGATTGGGAGTTTTAATGAACACAAAATGAATTAGAAATGAGTCTTCTGAATAGTAAGATTCAGCCTAATTCTATAAGACTTCAGGAATAAGGTGCCAGAGCCTGATGGTAGTGAACTTTCAGAAAGTCAGCAGAGAGCAATGCTTGAAGAATAGACTCATTTAACTGCTTAGGCTGGGTTGTATAAAAAATGTCACGATATCTAGAAGGACTTACATCATCTGTAGTAATTACCAGAAAATCAATCCTCAAAATACTGGTTATGAAGCATTTGTTCCCTGTTGCCGCATGGAACCACTTAATGAATTAGCTAAAACCTCAGATGGGTGATTATCAAGATTCCATTCACTACTTTTGCATGTGTAAAGATATTTTCTTTCACAAGAATTGATTTCGAAAAGGGTCCCATAGATTTTATTCAATTTCAATCAAATCATTAACATTGAAATATAGATAATTATGATCACCATAGACATGGTGTGGAAACTAAACTGACCCAACTTTACAGGCATTGTTTAAAGTTATAAGTTAAGCATGTATCTATATATTTTTTGCTTTAAAAATATTAAAGATTTTTTAAAAAATCCTTACCTTGCGTTTCCTAGCATCTGCTGGTTTAGTAGCGTCGCCTGGTTTACTACTATCAGCTGGTTTTTTATCTTTAGCTGGTTTACTAGCATCTGCTGGTTTACTAGGATCTTCTGGTTTACTAGCATCTGCTGGTTTACTAGCATCTGCTGGTTTACTAGCATCTGTTGGTTTACTAGAATCTGCTGGTTTACTAGCATCTGTTGGTTTAGTAGCGTCACCTGGTTTACTACTATCTGTTGGTTTAGTAGCGTCACCTGGTTTACTAGCATCTGTTGGTTTAGTAGCGTCACCTGGTTTACTAGCATCTGTTGGTTTAGTAGCGTCGCCTGGTTTACTAGTATCTGCTGGTTTTTTATCTTTAGCTGGTTTACTAGCATCTGCTGGTTCACTATCTTTGGCTGGTTTACTAGCATCTGCTGGTTTACTAGCATCTACTGGTTTACTGGCATCTGCTGGTTTACTATCTTCAGCTAGTTTACTAGCATCCGCTGGCTTACTGGCATCCGCTGGTTTACTGGCATCTGTTGGTTTACTAGCATCTGCTGCTTTACTGGCATCTGCATGTTTACTATCTTCAGCTATTTTAGCAGCTGAAGCTGGTTTACTTCCTACTGTCTTAGCAGAGGACGAATCCTTTTGTTGATCAGTATTCTCTGTTTCTTTTTCTGCTGCAGTAGTTTTGCTAACCTAAAATTTAAAAAAAAAATATATATAATTAGAGAAGAAGTAACTTTTACTTATAATGGAGCTTTATGTTAAATTAATGGGGACCTTCCCACAATGAAATGTTAATAGAAAAAACTAAGATTTATATTTATTTAGAGAACATTTTAGCACAATGTTTGTGTAATTTTGTTTGTAGATCTCGTGGGTATTTCTTTTAATACTATAAGGGTGAAGATCTTTGTCAGGATTTGCAGTAAAAATTTCTTTAAATAAACAAATTTAAGAAATACAAGAATTCTTTAAGTAGAAGAAAAAGAAAAATTCTCAGAAGAATCTACGGACCTAGGAGAACACCTGAAGGATAATGGTTGCGGTAAAATGAAGAAACATATAAGGAAACAAAAGATCTAGAAACTGACGCTAGGGTGGGAAACCTGAGGTTCTATGGCCATACGATGAGGATGAAATCTGAAAGACAACCATAAAATTTTTCAGCGAATCCACATTTATCAAAATTTAAGCGGGTATTTCAAACAGGTTAAGGATGATATGGACCAAGTAGGGAGAGAGAGCCAATAAGAGACCAAGATTGTTTGGACAGAGATAAGTACAGTAAGGCGCTAAAGGGAATAATGGTTCTTGCGGGAAAGAAGGATGTTGTGTGGTCTGAGGAGAGAAAACGTAAGCACGCGTTGCTCATGAGAGACATATGGAAGAAGTGGAGGCAGATGAAGAGGAAGCATTAAATGTGTGATATTTGTGTGGTCTTTAAGGCCAGGTCGTGAAAAAAATAAAATAAATCAATTTAATTAAATAAATAAACAAATTTTTACTGAAAATCCTGATAATTTATTTTCACCTTATAATCTTAACAGTCAACTACTTATTCCATCTCTAAAATAATATTACATCGAATATTTATTTTTTATTTTTAATAACATGTTACAGAGAATTTGTTTGATCTTACTAGTATTTCTTGTATTTCTCATAATAACATAATTATTAATAGAATCCTATAGAATGTCAGGTACAAGATGCGCTGTTGCATCTTGCAACAATAATCTAATTGACACAAAGAAGATGGGAAAGAAAATTTCATTTCATACTTTTCCAAAGGGTGCTCTAAGAATAGATTGGATTTTAAAATGTAAATGTAAAAAAATTGTAAAAAAAAAACAAATATTGTAAAAAAATTGTAAAAAAAAACAAATATTGTAAAAAAATTGACTAAAATTTTTCTTAAGAAACAAAATTAATGAAGAACTGGTAAAAGCTTTCTTTCAGCAACAGGTATTTATTAGAATTAAATTTTTAAATACCCAAAAATATTTACAACAGTTAAGAAAACATAAAATCAAAGGCAAACAACTTGAGAAAAAAATCACTACATAGGATTACTTATGACATAAAAATGTAATATTTACAAAAATTCACAGAAAGAAAACGCTTTTTAGATTAAATACCTTTTCTTTTTTTAATATTTCTATTATTTTATGTTATACTCTGTATTTATTTGAAATATTTGGAAAATATTGTGGTATTTTGCAAACAATCATACATCAACTTGTTAAATTACATTTTATTTACTTCAGAATAAACCAAATATCAAATCAACCTTTCACTCACCTTTCAAATTTATTATTAATAAATTAATAAGTTATTTGGCAATACAGTATTTATTTAATGTAGAAAAGTAAATAATAATCTTAAAATGTCCAGGAACAAAGGCCGGAGGGATAAAATAAGTCTATAGGCTACGTCAGAGCTCGATTCCTGCCTACCATTTTCCATCTGAGTGAGCGAACCTGGTAGTTTTATTGACTTTGGCCACAACTAAACACACAATCCTCTTTAATTTTTTAAGAGAAGAATAGTTGGGGTGGTCAGTCAAAAAGGAAAATATCTCAATTTTCTATCTAACTACTCCATTCTCAATGTTTTAATTTTACTATTTATTTTCATTTCTTATATAACTTCATATTTCTTTTTTATGTTTTACATTTTATCCTAAGATTTCCATTGTTACACTTATGTCACCCTTTTTGATTATGCCTACTTCATCATTCCACACTCTGTAACAGTTATTATTATTTATCTCTTAGTTCTTAGTCATTATTGTAACAATTTCATTTTACTTTATATTTATTTATTTTATTTTATTTTTATTTATTTATTTATTTTTACCATCATTACTTATGTTTTTCATACCTTGTTATCTGGTTATTTTCTTAGCCCTGATGAAGGCCTGAATTTCAGGTCGAAACGTCGGCATATGTAAAAAATAAATATTATCATTTATTTTTGGCTTCCTTTTTGACTGGCCACCCCACTATTCTTCTCTTCATTATCCATGACAGTCAACCAATTACCAATTATGACTCTTTAATTTTTATTTTTTCACTTTACTATCGTTATAATAAACAAAATGGCATTTAATAGTGGACCAAAGAAATTTTGGGAATTCCAGAGGGGTCAAAAGTTAGTTTGTATGGGGAAAATTCAGTAGTTAAAGATTGCGAAAGTATTGCACAGGTCCAAGTAGCCAACAAACCAATCCAAATTAATGAAGGTGCTAACGCAGGAATATCGGCAACTCAATTGACCTGGAATCAAATACTAGCCGGCACATCATCAATGAAATGAAAAATGAAATAAAAAAATTAATTAAAACATAGTTTCGAAAATGGTTTCAAAAATTTAAAATCGGAAAATATAAAACAATTTGAGAAATTGGAACAAAATTTCAAAACATTTACAACAGAAATATGAAATGAAAACAGTAGTAGGACCAAACAATGGAAAGAAAGATTTGAAAGGTGCACTGTTAATAATAACCAAAAATATGATACTGACATAAAAGATTCAAAACAAAATCTCAATAAAGAGATAGTAAGCATAAAAAATAATTTATCTGCAAAATTAGATAAAAAATAAAAGACATTAATAAATCAAATAAATGTATGTCAAGCAGAAAATGGTAAAATAACAACAAATTTGAAAATATTGAACAAAAGCAGTCAGAGGAAATATGTCGATGATGGAGGAAAATAATTAAAGAAAATATAAGAACCCATTGCACCAATCCTGTTTTAAAAAGCATAAATATAAGTAAAATAGAGAAGCTTGAATTTCAAGGTTTCAAGAAAAGTGACCCAATTATATTCAATTCAAAATTAAAAGATAATAATAAAGTTAAAATAAATAAGTTGAAAGACTTTTTGGAAAATTTTAATATTGTTAAATTCCTTACATTATTCCGTTAAATTATACATTCCGTAAAGAACCCTTTAGAGCATAAAAAATGGGTTAGTAAAATGCCCCAAATTACTCTTAATGCAACTTATAACACAACCATAAGTATGACACTGAAGGAATTTTTGGGCTCAGTCCATTAAAATTCTGGGCTTTATTTTTCAGTTTTGATCCAGAAGGAATAAACTTAGATCCGGATGATATAGATGATTTATTACTAGCATTATTAAGGATTTTTCTTTTTTCTCCTTCAAACGAAAATTATCTTATGCCATACTACTAAACATGCCTCATTGTATTGTAAATAAACTCGTTGCTTTTGTATTATATCAATAGGATTATATTTTGTGATGAGCACTTAACAAAGACATTGTAAAAAGTTTTATGTTTTGTTATAAATTATTAAATCAAGAATTATGTTTTTTAAACAAATGAAGCATTAAAATAAAAATCCTCAGTTTTAATTTATGAAGATTAACATTATATAGTTTTAAGAATTCAATAATTTTGTATATTAAATTGTAATTATTTACTAACAAGGATGGGAAATCCATTGAAAATTGTGTGAATGTAATTGTAATTAGTGTGAATGTCAAATGTTAAGTTTATTATTTTATATGAATAAAAAAAATGTAAATATTTCACCGAATTATGAATTTCCATTTTTATTTTTTTAAAGCTGGAATGGAGGAGAATGTAATGTAAGTATTTTCTATAGTAGTAAGTGATTTTAAATAGTGGAGCAAAGGTAGTGACGTCTGTTAGGCAGAAGGTAGTCAGCCGTCAAGTTAAGAGGATCGAGAGAAGAAAATGTGAATTAACAAGTAGTGAGTGTCTAGAAGAAGACAAGAAAATAAAAGAACAAGAGATGGTTGTAAAAGTTGGATACAACAATATAGAGGAAGATTCACTGCAGAACCGGGTGAGTGACATATAAACAGTGAAAACGAAAGCGCGCCAAGATAAGACACTGACAAAAGAATGGAAATTTGTAAAAATGTTATGTACTTTTAGTGTATGATTTTATATTTATAATTGAGGAATGTGTATTTGTTGTCTCAACCCTACCTGAGAAATAATTATTGTTTAAAATAAATATAATTTGATTCAGAAACTGTTTTGTTTACTTTTTAAAGGTAACGTAACCTTACAATATATATATTAATATAATAATATGTATTTTCTGTGGATATTGAGGTTCAATAAAACAAATCACATTATTGTTTTCATATTCACAAATATGTATTGCAAATATTCACTAAGTATATTTTTGATACAGGCTTTCAAATATGCTTTTTGTGAATTTCGACTTTTTTTTTCGACAGTTTTGATACAAAATCATTGCAAATGCATGAAAATGACAAAAACCCTTTTATATATCAAATACAGTTACAAGTGTAATCTAATTTCATTAAGGGATAAATTATTTAAGGTTATGAAATATCTTTTAGATATAAACTGACGATAAATTAATTAAGAAATAGAATAGACAAAAATACTGTTAATTAAAAAATATATTATCTTAAAATTTTCATAAATTAAATAAGGGAATGGACAAGAAGATTTTTCTCACTCACAGGACCGGTAATTTATCACTGCTCCAATGGTGTCACTGGAGTTGTGATTTTTCCTGGACCATCACACCCTTACATAACAGTTTTCCAAGCAATTTGAAAAAGTACTGGGGGTAGGGATGGCCATCAATAATCGATATTATTGAAAAATCAATTATTTCCTTCTGACATTCAATATTTTAATATTTTCTCTATATTATATAAAAATGTTTTTAGTGATGGATATTTTATTTTACATATAAGGTGGAATGTTCTCAGAACATCGCTGCCTGTGAGTTTCCGGATACTGCGGCGTAAACTTATCATTCAGAAACCATTTTTTCTTACTGTTCAGAATGTTTTCATACACCTTTTTCATTTGTGTAATCAGAAAAATTGGGTTTGGTCCATCATTAGGTAGATAGGGCCTACCCCTATTGTAATTTATAAAAAAAAAATCTAAAAATTCAACTAGAGTTCTTGGATGTGACAGAACATAATATTTCTCAATAAAGAATTGATAACTTGTAAAAAAAAAAAAATAAATAAATAAATTAAAACTGTCATTTTGGAAAGCGCTAGGAATTATATATGAATCTCATTGTTAAATAAAAATATACTCATCTTGCCAGTTTCATATATCGATATTGTCGATTACCAATGGCCATCCCTAAGTAGAGTTGAATAGCGCATATGGGATCCGTTTTACTCAGTAATCTCAATTTGCCCAAATTTGTTGGTAAAACCTCCTCACATACTCATTATCATTCCATTTTTTGTGTCATTCTTTCCAATTTTCGCCTTTCTAACTCGGTGTAGCATCAAGAGACAATTTTGAATTATAACTCATCACAAAAAGGATAGAATAATGAACATTTTCATCACTTACAGTATACAGCTACGAGTTTTAGTTTTTGAGATATTTTAATCTAAATGCAAAATACATCGAGTCACCACCTCCATTACATCTCAAATCATGTAATCAATTTATTTCCCTATAATTTTTTTTTTCTTAAGTTGTAGTACTTTGGTGAAGAAATTTCACTTTAATAACTACTATTTTGATATGTCAAAAAGAAATGGTGAAATGAAAGAGTGATAGGAGGTTTGTGGTGTCGCTTCTTTTCTTCCATTAAGGAAGGAAGCTTCTTTTGTTCTTTTTCCAGTAATCAGAAGTGGTGGTAGCTTGTAGATTCTTTTAAAAATAATCTACACTATAAAACAAGGGTCAATAAGTGGCATGTTAAATGAGTTATTTTAAAAATAAACTATTAACAAGTGGGTAAGCCAAAATTGGATCTCCCTCCATCCTAAAATTTGCCTCGGTCCGGCTCTGAGTACAATAGCCCTAATAGAATTTTCCATAGATATTCTCTATATATTCTGGTGTACCTCCTCTTAGACACCACATGAATTTCTTTAAGAAAAGGCATTAATATCATAATTTTATGGTTTAAGACAATCTGAAATAAAAAAGTTTCAGAATTTTCAAATTGAAAGTTCTCAAATAAAAACACTTTCTGTTATGGAAACAAAATATAGCTGGATAATGGGCTTGAGTAATAGTCATTAAAAGTGTAGATTTTATAAAAACACCATGCAGAAGTGCTTAAAAAGTACAAAACTAAAAATTGAATCACTAAATATTATAAATCTTTCTAAAAAAATATTGAATAACAAAACATATTAAAACATATTAATATTAAATAATAATACAAATATTAATACAATAAATATATATTAATACAAAAATATTAATAAAAAAACTTACAATATCATCTTCCATTGTTGAGTTTTGTACAGTCTGAAGAAAAAATAAATGTCAATTAATATTTCTGGAACACTGAAACTAATTAATCTCAAACTGAATTTATAAACAATTTGAATCTATTTTAGAGAAATCTGAGGAGAGAGGAATACAATTTGAAATTAGCAATATTTTAAACAAAATAAACTTTACAACTTATGTAATATTTTAGCAGAAGTTGGTTGGGAGTGCATTCATAAATGAAATTACATAAAAATTAGAAGCATTATTTCATTTATAAGAAGTCTAAAAATTATGACAAAATGTGGAAACATAATAAGATAAGGCTTCTTATTTGTGGGAATTTCATTTATGACCACACTCCCGATAACTTCTCTGACTATTTAATCTACTGTGAATATCTATCTGTCAATTACTGTATCTTTTACATTTATTTAATGAAATGTTTGAATATTGTATGCATACTAATTTCATACTACTAATACATTTTTTTTTACAAAGTTTAACACCAATGTCCTGGTATATTGGCATAACTAACATTACCTAGATCCGGAGATAATATACTGCATTTCCATTTTTTTTAAATATTATTATTCCAGCATTAATGCACTGCTGTGTCATTGAGGCTTATTGTGTGCCTTCTTTGACTCTCTAAAAACAGGCAAATAGTCTTTGTGAACTTTTATATTGTTGAGATCAATTAATTTGCAAAGCTTAGAAGGAATAATGCAGTCCCAATGAAAATGAAAATACCACATCATAGCTATAGCATTATATTTGATGTGGGATAGGTGATTTCGTCCGTTATGCCACATAACCTGGAGATTGGTGCCTCAGTTAATCTCAGATTAAAGAAGTGTTTAGTCAGTCGAATGACCCATATATAGCCCTGTCACAGGCTTTAAAGTGCTCTTCCATGAATAAAAGTATTTCATGTTATTCTATTCTCTCAACAAAGCTTAGTCTTATTTCCAAGAGCTATCTTACTACATCTTTTGTAATAGCAAAAGCTGATACCATGGATGGACTTCTGTGCCTTTCCTATTACCTTAAATCTCTGAGTGTCCTGGAAACCAAACAACACTCGCCTTGTTGGTTCCAGAAAGAATCTTTTAATTAGTTTTTTTTAGTTTAAATCAATGTAACTCCCTCTAAGGTTCAAGGAACCCCAAATTAAGGATTTTGGGTTCAAATTGTCAATTTGAAATGTGGTAGTATAAACAGAAAAATATTTATTTATTACACTAATCTATAAAATTTAATGATACAGAAGAATCTCCATTCGTCAGGACTTATTTAATCAGAAATCTTACTATCTCTATTTTTTCTACAACCTTCTAGTCGGCCTAATGGTTGACTAATCTCACCAACAGAAAAAAATTGAAATATTATAAATATAATATTTTTCAATTTATAATGAGAGAAAACATTTAATTAAACATCAGAGGTGAAAAATCTCAAAATTATTCTGAACAGAAGATAATGTGATTGTGATGTTTTTAGAATATAGAGATCATTTCGAAATAATACAATTTTTTTTATTGAGGAAGCTTCCTGATTGAAGGAGATTCCACTGAGTGCACTGTCTGTTACAATATTAAATAATTAAAATGCTTGTTGTAACTGGGAAAGATGAAAAGGGACTAAATTAAGAATAAAAAAGTAGGTGGGTGCTACTTACAAAATTTTTGTTGTTAAATTCCTTTAGAACATGCTTTATTTTTTTGTTAGAAATCACAATACTTTCAGCATCAGGACTGTGGAAAACATTTTGTTTAAGCCATGAATAAGATCTTGTTAACTGCTGATAGACATTTAAACAGTTATCATGAGGCTCCTGATCACCTTTAAAAGGATGGACTTCAGATGGTTTGTTATTTCTTTTCCAACACAAATCACTTTCGGTTCTCTTTAGAACAGATGCGTTTTCCAAATCAGTTTTTGTTAAGCAACTTCTTTTCTAAAAAATATCATTATCTCCAGTGAAAATGAAGCACAGAAAATTAAATATAATGATTTTAATGACATGACAAATTAATTCACTGTAACTTCATTCCTTAAGCGTAGAAATAAATACCTTCATCAAACACAGGGACCAAAATACTCAGATTTTAACACCACATTTCTTCTGTAAAAAAAAAAAATTGTCAGCTAGAAATCGTGTTAGTTGTAACAAACATAAAATTATAAGTTTTAACAAAAACTTGCATAATTAAAAAAAACAAATAAAGTATACTGCCCAATTTTTGATATTTACCCAAACAAAACAAGCAATTGT